AAAATATTGATGTCAGAGAAAACAACATAAAAATGTGAAATAAATAACAAATCAAAGGCAGCCAGAAAAAAAAATAAGGGTTTAAAATACAGAGAGAAAAATGAAAAATACAGAAAGATGGAAAACTAATTGCAAAAAAAATCCAGCGATATTTTAAAATCTCTATAAGGACTTCCTATAGAGAAGTAATATTGGATTGAATAGTGAATTACAAATCTTATAGTCAAACCTTGGATTTAAAAAAAAATGAATACACAGAATTACAGGTGCATGTAGGATAGAATTGTTTTTGCCAGTTAGAGGGAGATCATACAAAAATGTGGGAAAATGGTGCTACAGTCTGTTTGGACATTTGAGGCACAAACACCACAGTTGGTACCAACAGTTGGTACAAAACATTACGTTTGGTAAAGTTCAAATCAGCACAACATAAACCCAAGAGATGTTAATTGCTTTCTGTTAGACCCAATGCTCACATTAAAATCACGTGTCATGAAAATCAAATAAGGTGCAGCTATTTTGTATGTAGCTAGCAGCAGGTGGAGGTGGATGAGGATGAGTCATGCATGCAGTTACTTTTGTAAAGAACAAAACACTCGGTGTATTTTCACTGCAGGTTGTGGGCGGACATTAGGACACTAAGTTGGGCAACTGGAAAGCTAATTCTATCTAATGCTGTTTTGTGCAATTGATAGAATATAATAAATAATTTTTAATCAAGTAAATTGTATTGATGTTCCACACATCATAACTGAAATCTGAATGTTCTTGTCTGGAGAAATGTCAAAGTACATCTTTATTTCACACTTAGTGTTAATGCTTACTGTTTTGTTTTGTCAGCTATTTTGTTTTGATTAGTAGTTTAAATTGGTGTTGTATCAACCACAGACTGATACTGTGTGGAGAAACACAATGTCAGCATTATTTGCGCTTATGAACTGTTTAGTTCTTTTTTTGTTAAGTACCTGAAGTATCTGCGTAAGAATTAGAGGGCAATGACAAAACAGGGCTGAAAATGTATCAGAAAAGACGGGGCAAGTTGGATAATCTCACATACCCTGAGTAGAGTGAGCAGCTTGCTGACATTTGAAAAGGAGAGGCCAGCACGCAATAATATACTTGGGGTAGCCTTAATAGGATGAAAGTGGCATTTTCATCCCTCAAGTCCCTCAAGAGTTTCTGACCAGTCTGATTACCTGTGGCTGAGTAGACCCCAGCATTTCCAGAAGACAATAATGACCACTACTCAAACTGCAAGGCAGCCCCAAAACGTTGAGTCATGATACCAGACTTGGTGTTCTTGCTCAGGGACAGATTGTTGTCCATTATGAGTGGGCATTTGGAGTTAGTATACCAGAGAGCAACAATAGAAGCCACAAAGGGGAATTATCTCCAACGAACATAGGGAGCCCCCTAAGGAAGGTACCTCTCTTCCTTCCTGCGTTTTCCTGCAAATTGGGAAAGTAGCCGGTCTTGCTTTTAGCACTTTCAAGCAGCTTTCAATAAAGTGCAAAGGTCTGTTCCAAACAGGTGCTGAAGACAAATGTTTACCACTTTGTATCTTTGACACACATTTCAATCTCTTCAAAAATCACCTGGCAATTACTGGTGAGATGAAAATCATCATGTCTATGACACAGATAACAAGGTGTAGAGCTGGATGAACACAGCAGGCCAAGCAGCATCAGAGGAGCAGGAAGGCTGACGTTTCAGGCCTAGACCCTTCCCTCTGACACGTGAAAATATATAGAGATCAACAGGGCTAACTTCAATTATTTCAATTAGTACTACTTAATTTTTCCACATTATTGTGTGAAGCTAAGATAAGACTGTGCTTCCCTATATCAAGTGGGTCTTGTGGTTGGTTGGCTCGCCAAGCTGGTTCATTAGTTCGCAGACGTTTCATTACCTTGCTGAGTAACATCATCAGTGCAGCCTCTGATGAAGGAGTTGTGTTTTCCCGCCTGGTATTTAAACTCTGGGCTCTGCGATCTAATGAACCAGCTCCGCGAGCAAGCGAACCAAACACAGCATCCACAAGCCGAGCTACAGATCTACTCAAGAACCTTACAAGTGGGTCTTCTTCCTTGACCTAAAGTAATTTAGCTATGATTCTGTAATCTTGCAATCTTTGTTAGATTTAACTGTCCTCTTACTGTCCTCTTATTGTCCTTTATGTACATAAGAAAAAAACATTAGTCTTTTTCCTCAAAATCTCTCTCTTCACACTCAAAAGAGTTTAGACAGGATGCATAAGTGTTCCTTAATTGCCAAGAAAGGATAATACATAATTCAACATTTAGAATCCTTGAGGAACCTCAATAAAGGTTGCTTATTTGCATTTTGATCTCTGTATCTTTTTTAAACTTGTACGAGGGTGGTATGCATCATATAAGAATATCAGAAAAGTATATTTTTTTCGAAATCCTTTCTATTGAAATGTATTAACAAAAGCCTATTACCACTATTGACACTGACTGGAAATGTATCTGTTCAATAATCTATTTCACAGCTGCTTGCATACCGAGCTGGTGCTGTTTTAACTTCCAGGGGGCAGAGGTTGACTAAGTGCATAATGAAGATGTGTATCTTTACCATCCAACACTCCGAAAACCGGACTTTAAAGTCATGAACCTAAAGCACAATGGCATGAAAATGTTATTTTACACATGAAGTTTGACTTTACCATTTGCAGTGATGTACTCTAGTTAATAACAGAATAGTACGGATTCTTCCTCTTTGCTTTAATTGAATAAGTAAAATTCTGAAGTTGTTTTTCTAAAACTAGTTCAATAAATGTCTCCTCAATCAAAGTACGGAGACTCTTCTCTGGTATGTTTACATTCCACTTTGGTCTGCAAAAATAGCATAGGTTCATTTGATCATTCCCCCCCCCCCCCCCGCCCCCGGGTGAAATACATAGTCTATTCCCAGGAGCCTATTGCCTTAGTGTAGATAAGATTCAAAACTTCCCATTATTCTCAGCCATTGGCAAAGGAGCTGCATGGATTTGACGGTCTTATTACATCATACAGTCATACTGCAAGAAACAGATCCTTCGGTCTAACTAGTCCACACCAACCATGTTCTCAAACTAGACTAGTCCTTCCAGCTTGTGTTTGGCCCATATCCCTACAAACCTTTCCTATTTATGTACTTATCCAAACGTCTTTTAAACATTGTAACTTTACCTGCATTCACCACTTCCTCTGCCAGTTCATTCCACACGCTAACCATTCCCTGTGTAAAAATGTTGCCCCTCATGTCCTTTCCTAAAACTTCTTCCTCTCACCTTTAAAATATGCCCCCTAGCTTTGAACCACCCACCCAAGGGAAAAGAGCTTTGCTATTCACCTTACCTCTGCCCCTCATGATTTTATCTCGTCAGTCTCCTATGCTCCAGTGGAAAAAAAAGATCGCAGCCTATTTTTTATAATTCAAACCCTCCATTCCCAGCAACATCCTGGTAAATGCCTTCTGAACCCTGTCCAGTTTAATAATATCCTTCCTATAACAGGGAGACCAGAATTGCACACAATACTCCAGAAGAGGCCTCACCAACATTCTGTGCAACCTCGATATGATGTCCCAGCTCCTACACTCAAAGATCTGATCAATGAAGGCAAGCGTGCTAAACACCTTCTTAACCACCCTGTCTACCTTTGAAACAAATTTCAAAGAATTATGAACCTGAACCCCTAGGTCTCCCTATTCTACACTACCCAGAGCACTATCACTAATTGTATCAGTCCTGCTCTCATTTGTTTTACCTCATATTTATCCAAATTAAACTCCATTTGCCACTCCTCAGGCCATTGATGCAATTGATCAAGATCACTTTGTAATCTTAGTTAACCTTATTCACTGGCCACTATACCAGCAATTTTGGTGTCATCTGCAAACTTATTAACCATGCCTCCTATATTCTAAATACTGACCTTGCCAGTGATATGTACATCCCATGAAAAGAATAATCAAACTTCAGAAAGCAATTTGTTGAGTGATTCAATAAAAGTCTTTCACAAGCATTTTACAGCCAATCCAGTACATGAAGTGCAATCACTGAAGTGCAGAAAACTCATCACTGCAAAATCAATGGATTTTTGGTCTGGCAGGATCTGTGCTGTAGCATCTCTCCCCAGATGTTGCCATACCAGCTGACGTTTTCCAGCAATTTCTGCTTTTGTTTCTGATTTTTAGTGTCTGCAATTCTTTGGGTTTTTTTTTTGTCTAGCAAAGTACTTTAACACAGCATTCAGTCCCCCCGCCCCCCCATCCCCTTCTAAAACTCCCTAGCAGCTCCTACTCCCTTCTTGCAAGTATTAACATTAAACTCTCCCAAGTCAAATGCAGAATAAATTGCTATCCACACAACTCCAGCAGCTTGCCTCAGCTCTAACCTCAGAAGGATAATCCATAGTGAATAGTTGGACATTCTTCCTATTTTTTTCCACACCAACGATCCTGATTGGTCTTTAAAAGTGGTGTTAGTGTCAATATAGGGACAGGAATGTGCTGTAGGCTCATGCACCCAGAATTGATTATTAGTTGCATTTCATATGGATCCATGTGGACAGTAAATACAAGAAATGTTCAGTCTGCCATTTGAGATGGATAGGTGCAGATCAATGCTTAATTTGCTTGAGTTACGCAGTTCTTAATGTGGCTTTCTGTTTACAAACCATTCGACACATCAAAATAAATATTTTGCTTTAAACTGGCTTATTAAATAAAAATAGAAATATTTTGGGAGTGAACCATTACCAAGAGTCATAATTTACAACTCTGGCAATGTGACAGATATTAACATTTCAGTAACCTTGTTAAATTAATAATTTATAAACAATGCCATTTGCAGGATTACTGATTAGTTATTACAACAAGCTACTATTTTACCACTATAAACAAACATATTATGCTGAACTTTTACTAAGCTAGCTAATGGATGTTAATGAAGTTCGAGGATATGTTATTGACTTGACTTCTGTTTTTATTTTCAGATACAGAGGTGACCCAAGGCTTCAAGAAATAAATGCATTCATCTTGTAGATGCAGACAATGCCATGATACCCGTGCAGATTAACACTGAGGTCGATGTTACAGGAACTGGAAGATACTGAGTTTGGCTATGAAGGTGTAACAAGCAATTGTTGATAAATTACCTCAAAGGAATACAGTTGATTTGTAAATGCTGAAACAGTATTAACAGCACCATTCCAAGGAGAGTTATTTTTGGAGAGTATACACTTAGTCATGTTTATTGGGAAGATTTCCACCTTGAGCCATTTCAGTTCACATTTGTTATGTTCACTTCACTGACTCCTGAATTTCTCAGCCAGTAGTTTTCTTCTAAACTAATCTTCATTACCAGTGTCCCTGATCCAAGGAGAGTGCTACAAAGATTGCCATTGCGGAAGCATGTCCAAAACCACAGAGATTGTCAATCTCTCATTCTTAATGGATAATGAAAAGGAAATAATCTTGGAGGTTTTACGTCGAGATGAACAATTGAGAAAAGCCGAAGAAAAGAGAATAAGGTGAGTGGTCTTTTGGGGGAAATAATTGTCTGCAAATTGATGGGAGCAGTAGAATTTGAACTGTAAACAAGAATTCACAAAGCAGCACCAAATAATTTGTAATTAATACATCTTATTGCTTTCATAAATGGGAAAGAAAAGAGAATAGAATACTGTTAGATCTTGTGTTTGCATAGTTTTTTTTCCGTTTGGGAAATTCTGGATCTCATCTGAGAGTCAGACTGGAGGCCTGTGACCAGTGGTGTGCTACAGGTCCACTGCTTTTTGTCATTTATATACATGATTTGGATATGAACATAGGAGATACGGTTAGTAAGTTTGCAGATGACACTAAAATTGGAAGTGTAGTGGACAGTGAAGAACATTACCTCAGAGTACAACAGGATTTTGATCAGATGGGCAATGGGCCAAGGAACAGCAGATGGAGTTTAATTTAGATAAATGTGAGATACTGCATTTTGGAAAGGCAAATCCGGGCAGGATTTATACACTTAATGGTAAGGTCTTGGGGAGTGTTGCTGAACAAAGAGCTCTTGGAGAGCAGTTTCATAGTTCCTTGAAAGTGGAGTCACAGGTAGATAGGATAGTGATCAGTGCATTGAGTATAGGAGTTGGGAGGTCATGTTGTAGTTGTACAGAACATTGGTTAGCCCACTGTTAGAAAACTGCGTGGAATTCTGGTCTTTCTCCTATAGGAAGAATATTGTGAAACTTGCAAGGGGTCAGAAAAGATTAACAAGGATGTTGCCAGGGTTGGAGGGTATGTGCTGTAGGGAGAGGCCAAATAGACTGGAGCTATTTTCCCAGGAGCATCGGAGGCTGAGGGGTGACCGTATAGAGGTTTACAAAATTGAGGGGTATGGACAGGGTAAATAGGCAAGGTCTTTTCCCTGGTGTGGGGGAGTCCAAAACTAGAGAGCACTGGTTTAAGGTGAGAGGGAAAAGATTTAAAATGGACCTAAGGGGCAACTTTTTCGTGCAAAGAGTGGTATATGTGTGGAATGAGTTGCCAAAGGAACTGATGGAGGCTGGTAAAATTACAACATTTAAAAGGCATCTGGATGGATATATGATTAGGAGGGGTTTAGAGGGATATAGGCCTAATTCTGGCAAATGGGACTCGATTTGTATAGGATATCTGGTTGACATGAATGAATTGGACAGAAGGGTGTGTTTCTGTGCTGTATATCTCTGACTCTATGACTGTATCTGATGGACCTTTAAATGACTAGGAGTGCAGCAAATATCTGGTATGGGGGAGAAAGTAGTATCTATTATTATGGGAGCATATTTAATAGATTCAGCATGCTGCTTGCTTTTGTTGGAGTACTTATGTTCTCAAGACAAATGATACTTGTCTTGCTTGACTTATTCTGAAGTGTTTTATTTCAGAGGCATAAGTCTAAAATCCACTTCATACATTTCAATTTTTTGATTGATTCCATTGCAAGAAATGATAATTTTTTACATAATTAATGAATATGTAAAACCTACAGAGACAAATCTGCTCCATTAGCACTGGCAGTGGGCCGTTGCACAGAAACTGCTGTCAAATATTGTTTTATAGTATGCTACAAATTTGCTAGAATGTACATTAAGTGAAGTGTTCCAATAATAGTTCCTATATATATTTGGTTTGAGTGGAAAATAACCAGTGTAATCTTTAAAATATACTAATTATTTTGATTGAGCATTTAGTAGTATTTTATCATTGATTTTTTTTTCTTTGATTCTGTTATAATCCCAGCTGATGGTACTGCTGGGCAACTCAAATCCCAAAATGAAAATCTAATAGATACTTTCTCTTTTTTTGTTGTTTTTGGTTAATGGAGTAATCATCCATTGAAACATGGGACAGTAGCTTAGCAATGGATATTGCTTCTTACTTGGTTGTGAGATATAGATGATTCTACATTTCCACAAGACTTGAGGGCCATGATCCTGTCTACATAGTGGGTGAGGAGCCAAATGGTGAACACCACAGCACCAGTCCTGGGTCTTTTGGCACTATTATGGACCATTTTCCCTTTGAATGAGAGTGTAGGACGTTGAGAGGAGACCTGATAGAAGTTTAACTCTATCTATACCTCTCATTATTTTATAATGGTAGTTGTCTGTCTTTTCCCAAGAATGGGGGATTTCAAGACTAGGGGGCACGTTTTTAAGGTGAGAAGGAGAGACATTTAAAAAAGATGAAGAAAATCTTTTACACAGAGGTTGGTTTGCACGAGGAATGAACTTCCTATGGGAGTGATGGATGTGGGTAGAATTACAACGTTTAAAAGACATTTGGATAGATACATGAGGGTTGGAGGGATGTGGGCCAAGTGCAGGAAGGTGGGACTAATTTAGTTTGGGATTATGTTTGGCATGGACTGGTTGGACCGAAGAGTCTGTTTCCGTGCTGTATGACTCTGACTGTACGAAAATGGCACTTGTTGGTAATGCTGGTGCAGATTGGGGCAAAGTGGGTGGGGGTGGAGGTGGTAATGTTTCCCTACTGAGTGAGGACTGAGGACGTAGGGAACGCAGAAACCATGCGGGGTTAATGGGGTGGGAGAGAACCAGTGAGATAGATTTAACATGCAATAGTGAGAGCAGTAGAGCATGAGCCTTGGTGGGAGGTGGGTGCAGCAGCAGAGAGAGAGTGAGTGAGGCAGTAGAGAAGAGATGTTGGCACTTACCCTGGCAGAGTGGAGAAGGTCCTGGTCTCCTCTGTCAGTCTTTGGGGAACAGAATGGCCCTCCTTTGCACCATCCTGTCCATTAGGACCTCCAGGTCGCTGTCCACAAAGCGAGGCGCCAATTTCATCTTGCCTGCCACATCCAGGGCAAATGTCTCAAACCACACAGGGTAGATCCACATTGACAGCACTTGACAGAGTGCACAACGGCTGACACCAAGGATCCAGTCATATTCTGGCAGTGGTGAGTATTTCTGCCTGTGTCGAATAGGAGAGATGGGTGAGGATTCGCTGGCTGGGGAGCTGTCAGGCTGTAATGCATAGATAATGAGGCAAGTTTGGAGTAATAGTGTAAGAAAACTTGCCAGGCCTTTTGTAGAGAAACTCTCCATGAAACTTGATGAAAAATGAAGTTTTATTAAGATTCACTCCGTTAGGGTTTTCCTCCTCCTTTCAATTGTAACCTACCGTCCTTTTTATTCTCATCTTGACTTCTATGAAAATACATAAATCTCCTCTTTACAAGCATTTTTTATTGTTCAGATTTTGACTTAGAAAATGAGAATGGGGACAACATGGGTTTTGGGAAGAGGAGCATAAGTGAGATTTTAAAAAAAATTGGAATAATAGTGCCCTCATTACTTGAATTATTTTCAAAGAATGAGGAATAAGCTGTCCATATGTTTTAAATTAGTTTGTAAAGGCAGGTGAATTCTTCATATTCACTTATTTGTATTTAAATAGCGCAGCAGACTTTTTATTGTGTGAATATTATTATCTATGTCAAAGATAAAATTGTTTGCATCAAAAGCCTGGTAAAGCCAATGACCACCCAAATTGGATCTTTCTGGCAGATTACTAAAATTGTAATATCTTAGCAATGCCTGTTCTTGAAAACTTGCGCTGTTTTCTCTTGATCTTTGAATATGACATGACTTTCCAAATTCATGTCTATTTGCAGTACAAGTCTTTATTTTGACGCTGCAAGGCAGATTCAAACAGCTTCAGCCAAAGTCACAAACAGCATTACCTGTGAATTTGAACATGGTGCGTTATTGCTACTCCTCCTTCTCAACCTGTACAGCCTTGAACATTGTTGGTTACAGTGTTGGTTCTGAGGAAGGGTCACCAGACCCAAAATGTTAACTCTGATTATTTTTCTACACAGATGCTGCCAGACCTACTGAGCCTTTCCAGCAACTTCTGTTTTTGTTTTTGGTTTCACCACTACTTGCCAAACCTCTCTTCCATGATTCAACTCAGTTGGACTGTCTTCACTTCATTCCATTGATATGTACCACATCACAGCTAGAGCATCTCTCACCCTCGCATCATCACCTCGGGAATACCCAGGAATCATCTTGGGTTTCCTCCTTTCCCACATACAAATATTGTCCCTTTTGAACATCACTTGCAGGCATATTGTGAGCTCTGTATTGTAAGCTGGTGGTACCCAATTCTACCTCTCCCATCTCTGTCAACCCCACCATTGCCTCTACCTATCAGACTGCTTTCCAATACTCAACTTTGGATGAATGGCAACTTCTTCCAAATAAATATTGTGAAGTCAAAAGCTATCATTTTTAACCACTGACTGCATCCTCTTTCCCAGTCAGATGAGCTAGATCACTTACAACCTCAACGTTTTACTCGACCAAGCTGAGCTTCCAACTTCTATTCCTGTTTATCAAAAGACATCACTAAAGGGTTACCTGCCAATGTAACATCAAAAACTTCTGGCCTCCCTTAGTTCACCATCTTTGGAAATGCAAATTTATACCTTTGTCGCCTCCCAGTCTCAATTTACTTGAGTTCTCATTTGCTGAGCATCTAATCCTTCATCCTCTATTGATTTGTATCTCGGTCAAAACTGACAGTATTCTATTCTGTTTATTCACCTCTCTTGACCTCAGTGTGCCAGATGGGTTCCATCCCTCAAATGTAATATATTTATGTTAAAACTCCTTCACAACCTTGTTTGCAAAACTGTGTCTCTGAAACATTCTCCAGCACTACAACACAAGAGCTGAAATTAATAGCTTTGGTTTTTCCAAATTTAAACTGGAGGAAGTTGTGACTGCCATCCAGTATCAGGTTGTGTGTCAATCTAACAACATTCAGAGGCTCAAAACCAGAAAATCGATTGAAGAGGTTAAGCACCAAATATCAGATTTGCAGCAGTTGATTCCATGACTGCAAGTGGTATCAGGTAACTCGATGAGGAAATAGATGAGGATCAATGATAGACCAGTAATGATGACCTTAGGACCAATTCTACCATGCATTCTACTAATCAAATTCAATCTACAGCCTATGT